CTTTGCTTGCCGAACATGCTCGTTTACGGAACTTGCCCCTTCTGCCTGCGTTATGCGCCATGAAATAGCGTCGACAGTCGGAGACACCGCCGGTATCACCCAAGACGTCGCCCAGGACCCAACGGTTGGTCTTTCCGAGTCTCTTTCCGAAACTTCTCTATCCGAAACAATACCCGGCTTCTGCACCATGTGCGGGCAGGAGATATTTTGTGAAATATGCGGGCAGGAGACAGAAAATGGCTTCTACATAGAGGCCGACGACGACGATTCTGCTCTTCACGGCACCTCACAACCCTCCAAGCGCTCCTCAAAGACCTGAGCACTCTTGCACGTTCTTCCGTTGCTTGTTTTGCTCATTCTTTAGGCTTGCTTGGCTAACTTTTGATCATCTATTCTTGCATATAGCTGCCCAGAATCACGAAACAGTGTCCTTCGTGCGGCGAACCCGAGGCGGTCTTTTTCCAATCGCAGCAGCGGACTGCTGAAACAGGAATGGTGAGACCTTGACCATTTTCTTTGATCTTTCGGCATAGTATCGTGCTCACGTTCTCACCATCAGAAACTGTACTTTGTGTGCTGCGGCTGCGGAAATGTTTGGCAGTAGATTCACATGAATCTATCATTAGCGAATGTGCATGTCTGGCGCAAACGGTCTGGCACTAGACGTCTAGCATTGGGAACGGAGTTTGGGTGCTCTTTCGGACAAATGAGTTTTATTTACGGGGGGGATTCTGGTGATTTTGGGTCCCGATACCCGTTGATATGCTACAGAAGCATAGTACATATGATTTTACAGTTGAAAACTTCCCACATCACTCCCTAATTGCAAACACGCTCTATAAATGCATCGGTGCCAATGACAAAATCTTCGACCACTGCTTATCCCGTAGCTCAGCTGCCACGATCCCGTTTAACCTTGTTCCGATGGGCTCGCCTGCTTTGTTTATCAGAACGCAGGCGTTGTCGTCGAATCGGACTACGCTTCCATCTGGTCGTTGGTATTTCTTCGCTGTTCGAACTACGACCGCGTGGCGTATGTCGCCGCGCCGTACTTTGTTGCTGATGGAGACGGCGCCGCCGGGACCAGATTCGGGGCCAAATGAGCGCTGTTTTTGGACGACTACTACTATGCGATCACCTGGAGATGGGGTGTCAGCGAGAGTGTGGCTTGGAGGATGCGTGTTTTATCTCAGAGCTTAGAGCGAGGGAGAGGCGACTGAGTAGCGGATAGACAATAGCTACGCACCAACTTTAGCAGGTCTCTTCGATCGCAACACGTTTACACACTCGACGATGGCGGCGCCGGAATTGTCGATGCAATTGACGAGGGTCTGGAGATAGGTTCACGTTAGTCGACTGATTTGGAACATGGTATTTGCACATCAGGGCAATGCAAGTTGGCTGGTGGATATACCTTGAGCTGAATCATCCTGCGAAACTAGGCACTCCTATAGTGAATGATCGAGGCCGCTCCTGACCCTCGGAGTGCGGTGTGCCGGTGGTGATGTTGAAGATATTTCAACTGGTGCGGAGCTTTGGCAGATGCGGGAATGGAAAACTCCGCCGCCCAACCCTGAAAACCATGGCCTTGACAGCCGCGCCGTTCACCTCCGCGCCTCGCCTCGACGAACGATCGCGTCCAGGGAAAAGGGAAACCGAGCAAGGGTGTGGATTGCAGCCGGTCTCTCGCGACTCAGCCTTTCATCTCACGCATATCCGTTCACCGCGCCTTTTCTCGCGCCTCCTCAGCTGTGAATGAAAAACGCAGCAACTAGTCGCTCCTTCGCCTCCGTCTCTCGCTGTCGTCGAATTTTCCTTTTACCCTTTCACCACAGGTTGTTTTCTTTTCTACATGGCGTCCCCCTTGTTTGCTCAACCCTTGTAGATCTCGTTTCTTTCTCCTACGTCACCCCCAACCTCCCCCTTTTGCGCCGCGACGTCCAAATTGTTAGACGAACACCTTGCCAGCTTGTCGCGGTTGCAGTCCTTGTTGTTTGCTTAGCTTTCCTACTGACAACGTCATAATGGCTCTCAAAGAGGCTCTTGCCAAAAAGGGCGGGCTCACGCTCGCGCAACTGGCTTCTTACGACGACCTGATTACTGATGCACTGGTTGATCGGGTGAGTCGATTTCCAGGTCTGGAGGCTCAGGATGGAGAGCAAGCTTATGCTCGAGCATTTTGCGCGTGATTTGACTGACTTTGTTTGTCCTTTCGTCAGGTGTACTTTTGGACTACGATACGGAAAAATCGAGCGCGCTATTCAGCCTCACGAGGCATACACGAAGAAGAGATCGCGGATATCCTCCGCAAATCAGTCATTGTTGAGAAAGATGCTGCGAAAGCGGTGGAGCAGTTGCTGGAATTGTCGGGGTTGCGCAATTATCTGAATCGCCTGTCGACAAAGGATGAGAAGGAACACTTCCAGCGCCATTTGCGAAAGTATGTAAATATGTACATGCCCGATTGTCCATTCGAAGTTACGACCACGAACCGATATACCATCGATACGCATGAAGCCTCTGTGACGGCGAGGAAGGATATTCAGAAGGGTGAGGAGATTAAGTACTTGACTGGCATTCAAGTCGCTATGACGAAAGAGCAGGAGGAGGATCTTGACTTGTCACGACGTGACTTTAGCATTGTCGTTTCGAGCCGTAAGAAGACTAGATCTTTGTTCTTAGGACCAGCACGTTTCGCCAACCATGATTGCGACGCGAATGCGAAGCTTTCGACAAAAGGCGCGCATGGCATGCAGATTGTCTCGGTGAAGAATATTGAAGTAGGCGAAGAAATTACCGTGTCCTACGGAGAAGATTATTTTGGGGAAGATAATGAAGAATGCTTATGCGCGTCTTGCGAGGGGCGTCAGGTCAATGGTTGGGCTGTGGTCGCTGAGAATGCTGGAGATGAAGAAGTTACTCCGGCTGCAGAAGACGCTCCGCAGGACGGACCGTACTCGTTCAGGAAGAAGCGAAAGTACGGCGAGAGTGAGAATCCGTCGCGAGATGCATCCCCAGCGTCAACGAATCATCGTAAGCGACAGCGGGTTGAGAGCCCTCAAACTCTTCCTCAGCTACCGGTTATTGGAGCTAAGTCGCAAACGGGCTGGTTGTCAAGAGAGTCTACGTTGAAGAAGGAGCGCAGTTCTTCTTCATTGCGACAGGAAATTCCTATTTCGAGCATCGAGGATCCCGCTGATAATCTCCCGTCTCCTACAAAGGCATCACGGTCAATTCGCAACCAGCAACGAGATGGTGTCCTTACCGTAGCTCTAGATGAAGCAGACATATCACGCTCGATTTCTCCTCTCTCCTCAACCGCCGACGGATCTCCGAAATCAAGTCAATCCACAGAAGCAACATCCGTAGACGGTGACGTTCCAATAACAGGAGCCCAAGAAAATCCTAAACCAGAAACCCAACTCGTGACCGTCAACCTAACCTCGACTTCCGTCAAAACTCCCCTCCTCGACGACACGGACTCCGACCTCTCGGACCTCTCCTCCACCTACGATCTCGACGATATTCACCGCACCGTCATCCTCCGCAAACACACTCCCCCGCCCCTTGTTCCCCGCACAACCCGCTCCCAATCCCGCAAATCCTCCACCATCCCCCACAACCGCCCCTCTACTCCCCTCCCCACCACCGAAGCTGGCCTCTCCGCCCAACGCCGCCCAGGCGACTACACTCTGACCCCCCTTCTGCTTGCCGCGAAATACAGCCGCTGGGTGTCATGCCGAACCTGCGAAGCGGATTTCGTTCAAGCGGATGCGTATTTGACGCGCGCGGAGTGTCCGCGGTGCGAGAGGCATAGTAAGTTGTATGGATTTGCGTGGCCGAAGACCGATAGGGAGGGGAAGGGGGATAAGGAGGAGAGAGTGTTGGATCATAGGACTGTTCATCGGTTTATTGAGCCGGAGGAGGAGAGGAGTGTTAGGAAGGGGAGGGGGAGGTGGAGGGGTGGGAAGGGGTTGAGGGAGCAGGTTTTATTGAGGAGGGAGACTGAAGAGAGGGAGCAAGGGGGTGAGGAAAGGTCGGAGAGGTCGGAGAGGTCGGAGAGTGTAGAGGTTGAGAAGCCGAGGGAATGAAGAGGATGGAGGAGTACGATGTAGGAGGGTGAAGTGGAGGGCGACGATTGAAGGACAAACGCATGATGGTAGGGATGGTGTTGTGAAGTGTGATGGTTTCCAAGTGTGGTTCTGCTGGCGTTTTGGAGTCGAGATCTCATGCCTGAGATCTCTGTTCACTGACCTGGTCTTTCCGGACCACCTTTTGCCATTGGTTTCATGGGGTTTCTCATGTCTCCTTCATGGCTCTCTCGTAGGAGGCTGCTGGGCAATTTAGGTATTCGGGCCAGTCAGGCCTTTTTTAACATTTGATACTCTTGCTATTTTTGATTTCTTTCAGCAGAATACTTCTGCTCCTATCTAGTCCGCCTACTACTCATGTCTGAGCGTCGGTACTGAACCAGTGATGGAGTTTCTTGTGCTTCGGCACGTACGCCTTTTTGTGCTTTCTGGTTGTTTCTGTGCTATTACATTGCATTTGTATTTGTTTCGAACAATCTCTGATCTGCCTGTGGTCTTCCTCACGCAGGACCTTTTAATTGTAGATATTAATTGCTGAACCATGGTTGCGTGGTGGTCTTTGGGTCGTTTCAGTGGACGGCATTGCCACCACATGTAGAGAATACAGTCTACCTTAACACTGTATATACTTCCATAATCTGCCCAGTCTAACCGGATATGCTTCAGCCCACATATGAGGCGCCCTCTCCCTTCGCCTCTCCCTCCGCCTCTCCCTCTTCCTCTCCCTCTTCCTCCCTCTCCCGCACCAAAACCCCCGTCCAAACCCAAAAAAAATTCTTGTCCAGTTAATCCGGAGCAGGCGGCCTTCCAACTATACGCCATAGGGAGCAATCCACGTCTTCACACGAAACTTTACTTCCGCCGGAACAACAAAAACATTGATTGCTTATTCAAAATAAAAAAAGAACGTAGTTCCACCGGGGATCGAACCCGGGACCTTTCGCGCTTTGCAAGCAGCTATATCACCAAATGTGAAGCGAACGTCATACCACTAGACCATAGAACTGAGGATTGTGACTAATTGAAAAATTAATCTATTTATGAAGATTGATTTATTGGGCGATTGAGGAGATAAATGGAGCTAATGGGGCGGTGAAGATGTGGAGCTAGTGGGATTGTAGTGGTGGCGGTTTAGCATGGAAGGTGAGGAAGGGGGTGCGGGGAGACACAGAGTTGGAATAATGGGATGGTTTAGAATTAAACGTTTGATACTGGCAGAGGGAAGCTATATGAGTTCATGAGACGTAATATAGGTTCAGAGAAAGGGAGTGCATCTGATCATTTATTGACTTTGAGAGTGGACGAATAAGAGGGGCCCGGCGTCGGGTGGAACATCATCGTGGCCGTGTCTTGGCGGTATCAAATGTTCCTTCCCGCGAAATTCTTCGACTTTTCATCTCATCAGCACTTGGGCAGCCTCCATCGACTTGCTCATCATAAGAAAGCTCCTAAGCACTTTGAGGCCTGATCAGGGATCCTGGAAACCTCAATTGTACCTCTAGAAACACCTCTTCACGACGAGATTAAATTTCTAATCAGCTGGCATCTGAGTCGTCATTACGAACGTTAACGCTTTAGGGGATATTTTTTTTGTGGTTAAAAAGCTCCGAGAATCCCGGAGTTTTGAAGACTCCATATCTTATTTTCAGTAACTTGTTATTCCAGCGTCAACTTATCCGATATTGCCCTATGGAAAGGGCCCTACAACCTCGACACAAATGTGTGGCGATCGGCTTGCCAAAGTCCTGTTCAGAGTCCCGACTCTCGCAACCTAGAAACGAATTCCTAGATAATATCGCAGAAGAAGAACGATAGAATTCTACTTCTCCAAAAGGACCAGAGATTTAATCATGAGGTCACTCGAAAGAAGTCTACCGCATATGCCATTGCCATACTTCACCAACGCAGGCGTAATAGGAAATGCAACGTCTCCAGCCACTTCTTGTTGATCATATTCATCAAGATGCAGATTCTCCAGGAATTGTTCCCTGCTTTCCCAGTTAATATTCGAACATCGGTTCATAGAAATGGAAAATCGCTTGTTGGATGGCAAGTAGCTTAGCTAATTCGAGGGCTCTATCAATTGTTAGTATCCACCGTCTTCCGTAAAGCAACTTCGCTAGGTTGATACCCAATATGGCCCAGCAGGGCCTGAAAGTTAGAGACTAGTCTCTCACGTGCCTTTTCGGGTTCCAGATTAAGGCCGGACGATATTGACCGCGCCATTGTTAGTGTACGCTATCGTGCTGACTCCAGGTCCTTGTTTATTTCTAGTAAGCTAAATTTATGGTGATGAGTTTCGACGGTTACTCAAGCTAATACGTAAGAGATTTAGGGTCTAGGGAGTGTGGCAGAAGGGCAGTGCTACCGACATTAGGCAGGCATGGAAATCTTCACCATCTCTAAGTTGAAGCCGAAATGGACTGGTGGCGGTGGTACTTGTCCATTCGACACTACCAGCTCTCGTGGTCGTCCAGATTGAGGATCTTGATTGCGATATGCCAATGGCCTTGCGGAGGCGCGCGTTCCAATCCAGCCATCTTCAAGCTGCTCAGTGGGCCTATCATCAACAAAGAATGCTGATGTTTATCCCCAGATGGTTCGAAGATTACCCATCAGAATTCTTTACTTTTGCATTTCATCTCCAATGCTTAGCTGTATTGGGTGGTTGTATGCCAGAAGAAAACCAAAGTCAAGCGATGAGGGGAGATCTGCAACTCATATAAGAGTCACTGAGAAGATTTGCACCTCCCATACAATCCCATTTCCACAGGGGGGTTTTTTTTAAGCTCCAGCATCGTGCGATTGACTTGCTAAATCTTCCGAACTCATGAGCAGAGGGGTAGGTTTGCTTTAGACAATCCTCCATTTTAAGGCAACAATGTCCAGAAACTGATGAGGAACAAGAAATATATTTTTATGTTTGTTCGCACGCTTGACCGTCAAGCACTTTTGTCGCTGACTGCGTGCTGTTCGTGTTACCGTTCCGACCCGAGCAAACATCACAAGATGCAGGGTGCAAACATCACCTTACCTGCCTATCTTCCCTTTCTCTTTTTCCAACTTTTGTATTCATTTTATTTTGGCCTTCGCGCATCTTCAAAAGTATTACAAACGCAACAGCACGTACAGACATGCAAGCATGCTGCTTTACTGACGGCAGGCAGTAAGCCGAGTTGTGATTTCGTCTGTTTTACTACGGCGTCCTGGTTTTCACTCGCTTCTGGTGGTGTTCTAAGGCCTCTCGTCTTTTTGTTTCACCCACGGAGTCTCTGTGCGCATCTTCAGCCTAACGTCTACGACTCTTGCCTCCACCATCGACATCAACTGCCTGAAGAACTCTAACCTCTGCTAACTGAACAATCACCAACTCATCCTCCATCGGCCACTCTCCAGCAAACTTCTAACATACTAGCCACGCCCCCAAACGACATCCCCTCCACTCCACCTCTCATACCCATGGGCGCAGTATGCTCCTTCAATCCCCCACCCCCCCTCATAGAAGTTGACCACCGCCTCATCCCCGACCCATCCTACCGCTACCCGCGCTCCCGCTCCTGCTCCTCCTCGCGCTCTCGAACCCGCACGCCGCGGTATCCATACCCTTACAACTCATATTATCCGGAATACTACCCCACAGAATTACCACATCCAGCCGGGCGGTGGGGTGTTGGTGCTGGATTGAGAGGGGACGACTTAAGACTAGGGAGGTGGGGCCGGGGTCTGGGAGGTAGAGGAGCTGGAGGAGGGGCGCTGGATAGGGTTGGAGACAGGGCGAACGAGGCGCTTTTTCGAGACTACGCGAGGAGGGCGGCTGCGGGACAGCATCCGTACTACCCTCCTGCTTATGCGAATGGCGCCACGGGGATGCCTGCGCAACAGGTGGCGGTGGATGGGAACGGCATGAGGCTGGCTACGCCCGCTCCCGGTACCCCGGGCGGAGCTGGGCGTTTCTCCCCCGTCCATGCCGACGCTGCGCCGGCCGCCTACGCACAATACAGACCGCAAAATGTGAACGAGAGGGGTGTCGGTGTTGGTGGCGGTGGGCTAGGTTGGGGTAACGATGGCGATCCGTTTCTGGATGCGTGTCTCTGCACGAAACAATGCACATGTCGTAAGGGAAATCGCGTCCTCCATCGCACGCGGAAAGGAGACGGGACGACGGTGGAGGGGGAGACGAGATATGTGCTTAAAGACGATGTGGGACGGGATTGCGATAAGAGAGGGCTTGGGGGGCAGTATAAGGCTGGGAAGAAAGGGCGAGAGAGGAGAAGAATGGGGAAGAAATTGAGTTGGGATGATGAAGAGGATGAGGATGATGACGAGGACGAGGAGGACTGCGGTAGGGGTAGGGGTAGGGCAAGGGAGAGGAGGAGCGGGAAAGCAAAGGATGAATGCCGCGAGACTAATCTCCGGGTCGAAAACCTAGGCGCGGAGATGCAGGAACGGCTGCAGGATCTTGGAGACGGTATGCATCAGATAATGGCCATGCAAGCGCGGCCTTTAAAGCGTAGGGGAGGATATAAGCCCCGTCGCCCTCTGCATCAAGGGCTGGGATTGGGGCGGTATCCACCACCGCCTGGAGCTGGAGCTGGAGCTGGGATTGGAGATGAGTTCGGTGAAGACGACTTCGACGAAGACGACATGTTCGACGATGAAGACGACGAATTTGGAGGCGATGTAGGAATGGGGATGGGCGGCGCGGTGCCACCGGGTGGACGAGGCGGTATGGGCAGAGTGGGTCCCAGAAGAGGAGCCTACGACCCCCGTCGTCTGAATGGCGGCGGTGTGCGTAATCCCCGTTGCGGAGGTGGAGGGTTCGGCTCGATGGACACACCGGACCGGCGATCCGGCATGCGCAACGGGCGTCCCGACCGCCCTTCCCGTCGCCCTGGGGGCGGCGGACGCCGTCCGATGCCGGCAGATGGGATGCAATCCGGGGACTGGCCGCCTCCTGGTGGTGGGGGGTCTGAGAATTGGGAGACGCAGGCGTCGGGTACGTCGTCCATTTCTTTCTTATGAGTTTTTCTTTCTTGCTCTTTTCCATCCCTTTTTAGAACAAACAGAAGACTAAGTGCTGACAGGCTTTTAACCGCATAGATTCACAGATCCTGGATTCGGATGATCCGGGGCTGATGAGGCGGAGGGGGGGAAGTCTCGGAGGGTTGGGAGGGCAGCCACGGAGGCCCCCGATGGGGGGGCCGATGGGGAGTTGGATGGGTCAAGGAATGGGGGTGGGGGCCGGAGCTGGAGCTGGAGTGGGAGGTATGGGGGCG